TTTCATATCCTACCACCATGGGGAGGTGGGCAAGATTCCTATTTTCCGAAAGAGTTAGTGGATATTAACGCCAGCATTTTCGCGCAAATTTTATGTTCTTGACCCTTATGTACACGTACCCACATTAAACCAGTTTTGTATCACATCCTACCGCCATGGGTAGTTGGATGAAACGCATAACGAGTGCAGTCTCCGGGCATATTGGCTGGGATCAAAGTATAGTATCTGTTCTGATCTTTTCTACCTTACTGTCAAGTCTTGGAAACAAATTAAAGGATGCTTGTTCTAGTGATTCCCGATCCTGCGGCTACACATTCCTCATAGCACTAAAGGTAGATGGTTCTTAGATACCAAGTTAAAACGACTTTGTGTCGCAGACAATCACCATTGGAAGGAGTACTAGATCAATTACGATTAATTAGTGAGTTCGATCCTCACTGCGTGCTTCACACTTTAGGCCTTCTGTCACAGCTACGCTCAGAAAATCTTTACTAGGGACACTTCGATGTGGTATAATGGCTTTGTAAGCTTGTCTCGCTAGAGAATTTACGGTTGGATAGTGAGTTCGATTCTCACTGGTGACTCCAAACTTTCGGCCTTGTCTCACGACTAAACTACGCTTAGTAAACTATTTGACTTTGAACCATATCTAAACTAAATCTCTATTGGGAGGAGGGTTATTTGCGTTGTAAACAATGTATTTCTTACGTTATAATTCGTTCATTTTTTTTTAAAACTATTCTTATATATGGCCAGTATTGAGTTCGAAAGATTTTCTTAATTAAACCCTTAGAACAATGGGCTGACAAGATATTTCTCTAGAAATCTCTTCATCTGAAGCAAGATATTTCACCTATATGACATCACATATTGACAGGTTCTGTATCCAATCATACTGTACTGACAACAATGCAATTTAATATTCCGACTTCGGTAATGAAATTTAGTTATAAATATCTTCACAAGAAACACATAAATAAGATATTAAGGGAAAGCGAGAAGAAAGGGCTAACTATTAACTGAAAGAAGGCTGAAGGCTCTCAGTAAATGAGACAGTACAAGATGTGAGCTACGTAAAGGGACGTTAAAATAAAAAAATGTACATGAATTTATCTGAGTAGCTTAGTTGATTGATTTGTTTTTTTGCGGCTTATAAACTCTTTGCAGGACAGAAAATATTTTTAGATTGTAAATTTTTTTTTTTTTAGATAATGAGTTACTGATACAATTTCTACTAATTAACCTATAGATGGCGGAGAGAAGAGGTGGATTAATACCTTTCCCAGTGATATTTGCATGTAAGAGAATATAATGAACCCGACTGGAATTGGAACTTGGCATACCGATTTATGCATTTATCCATTACACCACATGTACATCCAAGCTTACAGCACTTGTTATTCTTAAGCAGTTACCCATTTACGTACTGACCAAGTTTGTCGTTGCTTAATTTCGATGATCGTACGAGAACCGGTTTTTCAACGTGATATAACCGTAAGCCGATTAACAGATGACAGAAAATGTGGTACAGAAAGTTGAAGACACATAGGAATAGAATTCGTGAAACTAAGTAAAATATCAAGAGACAGGAACCTTCCGTTAGAAACAAAGAAAAAGTTGCTGAACTGCTATGTTCTATATGGAAGTGAAAGCTGGACAATCTCTTCACAGATGAAGAAGAGATTTGACGCGACAGAAATGTGAGTAATAAGGATGTTTTAAGAAAAGTGTGAACTTAAAAAGGATGTTAATGCCTACAATCAGAACGAGACAATTGCAATTATGGGACATATAATGAGGAAGAGGACCTGGAGAATTCAACACACAGAGGAAATACTGAAAGCAAGAGAATCCAGGGGGAAACAGCTAGTAACTTCACGAATTTGGATGAATGGATGGCCGAAAAAGAAAAATCGAGATGTTAAACAGACTAAAAATTACTTAGACCAACAAAAGAAAGAGTTGTGATGTACTATGATCGCCCACATTCTGAAGGGACACAGCAGATAAAAGATGATAGAGTCTATGTTTATGCCTATCACTAGCAAATGTGATTTTGATATGGCTTTGTAAATAAAAAAAATCTGGGCATTTAAAAATGCTGCTGATTACAAAATACCATCATCCATTCATACTTTTAAGTTCTGGTCCATTTTCCTTGAACAATAAATGATCAGCGGATCAAGACAATTTGTAAAGAGTAAAAGTCCAGCATCGGCTGACAAAATATTTCAAAAGATATTTCTTCGTCCTCTGTCTTCTTCGACAGTGAATCGGATAGTGTCTGAAAATAAGCTGTAGAATACGGCGTAGAAAATGAAAATAATTATTCTTCCGCAGCAGCTGACAAGATATTTCACGAGATATTTGTTTATGCTGAGACGTCTTATTCTTTCAGTAAAACTGATTTTGATTCAAGACGATTCATGGATTGTAATTTACGTATGCGGTAAGCATAGCTGTCATTGGCGCGAGAAGTCTAATCGGCTAATCGAATTCAAATCCTAAGCTTGTCTATTGTATTTACTTCACAATAATCACCATATTCCCCGCTACCTGGGCTCTATAGAATTAGAATTCCAAACCGTGCTTTGTTTGACCGGAAGTCTTACTTAGCCAAGCGGTTAGGCACATCAAAACAAATGACAGTTACCCATATCGAATCCTGACAAGATTTCGCAAATATTCAGGCCGGTAGATGTAGTTGGATAACAAAATACTGTTTAATTAAAAAACAGAGCTTCTACTTGAATATGAGTATCCATCAAAAATAACGTTTAAACAAAATCAATTAAAAATAGCAATATGTCGAATTTAATCCATTTCCTAAAAATAAATTGTCTTTGTTTACGTAAAGATACGATACAAAGCAGATATGGATGTTTCGAGAATCAGCAGAGAGTGAGTGTTTAAAAGGCACTATTCAAGCTTTATTTGACGAGAAGTCCTACGTGGCCGAGCGGTTAGGCACGGAGATCCAATGATGGTTCACTATAGGGGAATGCAGGTTCGAATCCTGAGTCTCGGATATTCAAGAGGTAGTTGGATAATAAAAATATTGTTTAATTAAAAAACAGATCTTCTATCCATCAAAAATAACGTTTAAAGAAAATAAAAATTAACAATATGTCGGATTTAATTCATTTCATATATATATATATATATATACAAACACATAAATCAGCAATGCATAGTTACTATAAGTTTTAAAACTCATGCGATCTTTAAAACCGAGTTCCGATATTAACAGCCTTTCCTCATAAATATATTGAAATTTAAACTATATATATATATATATATATATATGTACCGCCAAAGGCTGTCTAAAATAAAATGAGCATACATGAAAAATGTCCCAAAAGTTTTACCGTCAAAATCTTTATTATAAAGAGGAAAGACCAAAGGATATTTTGATCATTAAATCAGATTTTAAATTCTTTTTAGAATCTTCAAAACCAGGTGACTGTTATGTACCGTACCGTAACTAATGTGTATGTCCCAATCCTCTAAAACACGTTGGACACTATTGTAAGCGTGTGTGTGTGTGGGGGGGGATATGCTGTCTAAGTAGTTCACCACTAGAAGTGGTTTACCTACTTCACACCGCTGGCAAGTATTGTAATTTGTTGATGTTATAAAGATTACCATTTCATTCCCAACCCCCCGTTTTGGTTATTCCTCATTCAGTAACCATTTCTAGGTTACAACAGGAACCATGAATTAGTATGTGAGATTTTATCGTCTTTTTGCTGTGCCAAACACACTGATTTGGAGATTCTTGCAAAAGTCAGAAAATGGTTGGATTTTAATAAAACATTCAGGATTTATTCATAGATGAATGAAATTATTTTTGAAACGTTTCTTTTTCAAAAAATCTTTTACATCTGTAACACCACGTATTCAATAATCCTTTTATTTATAATGGAGTGAGATGGAGAGAGTGAAGGAGAGAGAGAGAGAGAGAGGGTGGGGAGGAGGTGTAAGAGTCTGATGTTCAGATAAACAGAACGAACTAGCATCTGCTAGTGATTGACTAGGCATAGCTTAGATTTGGCACAAGGCCGAAAGTATGGAGTACTCGAGGAGGATCAAATTCACTACATAGTCGTAATTTGTTTAGCGAGATAAGCTTTCTAACAATTACACCATATTGCAGTGTTCAATAGTGATTTACTAAGCGTAGCGAAGATATGACACAAGGCCGAAAGTATGATGCACTCAGTGAGGATCGAATTCACTACTTAGTATTAATTTGTTTAGCGAGATTTGCTTGCTAAAAATTACACCATGTTGAAGTGCCCGATATCAGTATAACGATTTACTCAAGTGTGGCACAAGGTCGAATGTATCAAGCGCCCATTGAAGATTGAACTCACTACTCTGTCGTAATTGATCTAGCGTGACAAACATGTCAACTGTTGAAGTGCGCTACGGTTTATAAAATATTAAGAAAATAAAATATAAAACCGCGGTTCGTAATACTTGCTTGTTCATATTCAAATTTAAAACTGAAATCGTGAGACAGAGTAAGAAGTGAAGAAGAAAAAGAAGGCAAAGACAAAATGGAAAGAATTCTGGTAAGTCATCAAAAATAAAAATAAAGCGAAAGACGTAGAAAACAAAACAAAACGCAAGCTGAAAGAATTGGAAAAGACGAGAAAAGGTGAAGATAAATGAAATGAAAGAGTCAGCAAATGTATTTTGATTGGTTGCCTTTGGTTAGTGGCATATCAACAACTCTATGGTTTATTTAATGCCGAAATCTAAATATTTTATACATAATTTTATTTAATTATATTTTTTGGGAGATAATGATGGTTTTAGTGATACGAATCTTACTAATTAACCCATAGTTAGGGGGAAGAAGCGGATTCATATATTTCGCAAGGATAGTTGCGTTTAAGTGAATATAAGAAAACTCAACTGGAATTGTAACTCGAGCTCTACGATTAACAATTCGGAGCCATTATCCATTGCAACACCCGCACATCGAAGCTTCTAGTACCTGGTATTCTGATGGAATCCCCCATCTCGATACAGATCAGGCTTGGCGTTGTTTAACTTCAGTGATCGTACGGGAACCGAAGTTTCAACGTGATATGACCGTAAGGAGGGGGGGGAAATGAAAGCGAAATGGGAGGATGAATTGAGAGGCAGAGAGAAGAATAGAGAAATGAGTTAAGATGTAAATGACTTGAGATGAGACGGAACCTTAGCTGAAAAAGAAGAGGGAAGGTTATAAAGAAAAAGGGGTAAAGGGGAAAACAGAAATGAAGAGGAGACTGAAGATGTTCATACCTACGTACATTTTAGAAAGACGCTAAGAGGGAAAGAAAAACATAGAAAAAAGTTTATAGAATGAACAGGAGAAGGAAAGAAAGAATAGCATAAACATACCGAGTAAAAAGAAAGATAAAAAAAAGAGATAGAGATCAAGTGACAGGAACCTATTACCGAAGTAAATTATTTTTCTGCAAATTAGAACTTTTAGCATTTTTCATGTCAGTTGTTATCGATGAATTTGAACCATTTTGCAGTACGGATCAAACCACAGATCTTAGGGTTCTGATGCGAGTATCTTATCCATTAAGCCAACGTTTATCACGCACTCCAACGAGACTAACGTTCAAAACACAGCTGCTGTATTTCCTCCACCATTGAGCGAACGAACTAATTGTTTCCCAAACTGATTAACGTACGTTTTGTTTGTCCTTTTTTGACCTTTACAGACCGACCCATTTCAAAATCAGTTAGGCATATGGTTTGATCAAATACTGCACAGAGCTTCTGGGTACAGGAAGACGAGGCAATGTGGTTATCGTAGTTAAAAGGCGGTGAGTGAGATTCAATTTATTTCGTTCTTGAATCCAGGAAGTTCAGTTTAGTTCTTGCTCTAGTCAATTGACACGAAACTGTTGCGATTAAACAGCAAACATAACAATAAAGTAGGCATTTCTACCAAATTTTGTTTCAAAGCTTGGTAAATATTTTGCTTTGGTGACACATGTTTTAATATATATATATATATATATATATATATATATAGAATTCTTTTCATTTTCTTTTTCATTTCAAAATAATCACAAACTTTTAGGAATACGTTCTGAAAGCGTCGCCCATGTGACGACGGCGTGACCATGTTAGACGGAAAGCTGATCGTTTTAAAAATTTTCAGTTATCTGTTTTGGATAAGACTTGTGTTTTTTATGTCCATCATATTCAACTGTATTGTATTTTAATGAATATTGTCTTGAAAAAGGTTTATTAAACCGAAACGTCAGACGTCGACATTTCATTCATTTTAAACAACATTTAAGGATTTTGTTTGTTTTTACAAAATTTTTCTTCATATATATATATATATATATATATATATATATATATATACCGGGTGTAGCAGCAAAATTGTACAATTGTTATAGTAAGCTTTGAACCATTTTATCTTAGAAATGATTAAATATAACTTACTGGAATTCTTCGAGGTTTTTATAAGAGTATTGGACTCTACTTTGAACAATAAGAATGTACTTAGCTCTAAGTTGAAATAATGATCCATCTTCCTATTGTGACCTCCTGATCCAGTTTTCCTTTCTACTGCTCCTCCTTTTTTTTACACTTATTCACTGTTCTCTTGATGATACTTGAATGGGCTTTGAAGATAGAAGCCAAAGTATGAATATTGGTGCAATTACTGAAGCCCTGGATTTTCTTTTTCCTCTCGCCATTGCTCAGTTGGAAAGACATAGTTGGGCTGACGCAAAACGATTTTAACCTGTTCTTTTTCTAGCTGTATAACTTAAAAGGTTTTCAGTGATTCTTACGAAAATGGTGTCAAGTTGCTAAACGTCTTATCTGAAAACCTGGAAAAAGGAAACTCAATTAGTTTATTGTTATATTTTTAGATATTAAACATTATCAAATGCTGTTACAGGATTTGGACAATTTTACACCCGATATATATATATATATATATATATATATATATATATATATATTATTTAGGATATTAAAACAAAAACGTTAAAAATCGCCACACGATTACAATCATTTTAAACATGCTTTTGTTTTAATATCCTAAAGTAAATAATATTTAGCTCTACTCTGTATTGAGCCCTCTTTTAAATTAAATGTTACGTACAGTGGAATTATACTTTATTTGATCTCATTTTACCTACATATATATATATATATATATATATATATAATTATAAATGTGCATGAATAATTCTATGAAAACTTTTGTTAATTAAAGAAATAAAAGGTAATTAATTAAAAAAAAGGTATCGCCATACATCAGTTTAGAAGGCTCTAGATTTGGGATAAGTGTTAATAACATGATTATCTGTCAACTAGATTTAAGGTTGAACCTATAAGCAAGCAACGAGGACATTTATCGAAGCGAAGTCGTTATCAAGCTCGTCTTGCTGGTAATGCGCGATTGTAGTAAGGCTTGGAAAATTTGACACTCACAAGATATACTGAAAGCAAGAGGGACTGAAAAATAACGGTGCATAACCTTCCTAACGAGCTTGTTGAAATGAACAGGCTTTAGGAGATATGGCAAAAAGACAAAATTCACTAAAATCTACAAAAGACAGGAAATTGTGGAGAACCATGATCGCCAAAGTCCTGAAGAAGAAGTGTACAGGACTAACAAGAATATGTGACTAAATCCTTCAGCCGCAAAATTATTGTTTATTTAAATCCCGGCAGCTAATATTAGCAATTGAGTGTGTGACTTTGAGGTTTTCTCCGAACATAGATTCTTCTTCTCACGAAAATGCAAGAGACTTTTTTTCTACTTTTCTCTCTCTCCTGTGGATGCTTATATATCTTCTTATTGGTTGTCCTACGTAAGTGCAGCTTGGTCGATCCTCTGTTTACATGTCAGGGACAGGCATTGGTTTCTACTGAAGACGCGAATCTGCATCTGGCGGATAGGAGTGCATCCTCTAGGTCAACATGCTTCTAGGTCAACCTAACTTCTCTGAAGCTGTGGTGCAAAAGCAATATTGGTAACATATAAGGTGGGCACAATACATATTGGGATCATTGCAGATCAGTTTTTCTTAAAACAAAAGTTTCTTACTGACATTCATTCCATTCAGATCATTTGTTATTTCCTGGCGAGAATCACATATTACAGTAGCTTGCATCTCATTGTTTGACTCATTGCCTTAGCCTTGTACTAGACTAATCTAAATTTAGTTAATCTCTAAAATTTACGTTAGCTAGACTTTAAGTATTTAAGCGTAGTACTAAATTGTCGACGAGGTCTCACTAATTTACAGTTCAGTAACCGTAAGTTCTATGCTAACAGTTTCTTTGAACGCACCTCGATTGTGGAACTCTCTTTCGGCTCCAAGCTTTCCAATCAACTTTAATCTTCAAAATTTAAATACAACGTCAATCGCTATCTACTGTCCTCCTGATTACTCTCCTTTCAATTTCTTAACCTGTTCAAGTCTGTGGTTAACCGTTAACTTCCTCACATATCCACATAAACTGTGCCTCTTACTCTGTAACACTCTACCTCGAGTGGCTTTCACGCCTCGTACATGGTGAACATAATTGTTAAATACAAAACAAAAACTGATGATACGGTAGTAATATCTCATTTTTTAGTCTGGGCTTACTGATTAAAGTTCGTCTTTGGCTTCTGAATATTTACCAGATATTTAGCGTGACGAGTTCAGTGAATCTGATGGGATAGTTACTGTGAGTTCAATTACTGGGCCGGTTAGTACTCAGTGGAAACAGATCTAGAAGGGACTGAGCAGAACTAAAAAGACAATTTGAGGTAGATGAGATATCCTTAGACATAGAATTGAGAGTGACGATATATCTAGATGTAGACAAGGCGAGTTATTTCTCGTCATGGTCAGCAGAACAAGGAAAAATTATCTTCGCAAGTTAAATAAACAATTCAGGTGAAAATCCCCTAAAGTTTGCTTCCCCAGAAGGCATGACGCCGATAATAACAGAAAAGGCGATGACATTAGTACTACTGTAAAAAAGCGGGTGGCAATTGTACATTTCAGCAAAACATAACTGTATATTGAAGCCCATTTAGTGAACCATACAATGATTTATATATTATGCTAGATCCTTCTACGAGTACTATTGGTACAATGTAATCCTGTACTGCCTGCTGCATGGTGAGGTCAGAAACTAACCATTTCTTCCACCAGGTTCTCTGGTGAGGAGGATGGCTAGACACCCAACAAGATTGAAAAAAAAAATCGGTCAAAGGGCGGATGAAGCTTCTTGTAGGGTATATGGCCATCTAGTACAATGGGGGGTAAATTGAGCTTCATAGCTATGAATGGTGCCAGTACGGTGGGGACACGACGTCGATGAACAGAGGGCTTCTTAGACTGAGGGTTCCCTCCGATGGAATGAACGACCACGTGTGCGTAACCAAGGCGAGCCTTCAAGTTGGAGGACATCAGCTGTGGTTGGACCTGAAATGGGACATGTTCCGCCAGGTCGACTTGCTCAAGATAGTTAGACATGAATGAACCTATCCGGTTTCAAACCCAGATATGTAAATGGGAATGGTTAGATGCTCAGTAGGGCAGGGTCCCTACAACCACATACAGTTATGGGACGTATGATGTTGATGATGATGATGATGATGATGGGGATTCTTTAAACTGAATCTCTGGCTTATGGTTACCGAAGAGTGTCTGTTGAGTCGTCGTCCAAATGAATATCCAGATAAAACTTTTTGCTTAAATGAAAACCAGTTACGTGTTCTTTATCTCCAGCAGTTGCGTGGTCATTTGGAGACAAAAATGAGTCTCACTGTAGACACTGTGTGACAATATAGAAAAATGACAGATGGATCATGTTTTGTCATCTGGGTCAGAAGTTAGGCGAAGTGCATGTCATCTAGCCAGACCAGTTTGACATGTTAATTCGTTTTCCATGAAATCACACACACACACACACACACACACACACACACACACACACACACACACACACACACACACGAACTCGCGCGCGCGCTCTCTCACTCAAATGTGCACACACAAGCAAAATGAATAAGTGCACAGTTGCGAGTGTTGTAGATTTTGTCAATTCTGATTCTCATCATGCTTAGT